AGAATCTTTGTCTTCTTGACATTGAGCCTCAGTCCATACTGAAGGCTGCAGTCCTTGACCCTCTGCAGCAAGTGCATGAGGTCCTCCTCAGTTTTGGCAAGCAAGGTTGTGTCATCTGCATAACACAAATTGTTAATAGATCTTCCACCAATCCATTGGCTAATTTTAATTCAGAAGTAAATCATCTGGTATTTCTTCCTGTTGTTATTGTCAAGCAGAACACATAGCGACCCTATGAACTAAAGACCTGAAACCTTTCTGTAACTCTCATTGTTTTGCAAAATTCATAGTTTCCAGAGGCATGTTATTTAGGAAGTAGATGCCACTCCTGCTTCCAAATGTCTTCCTAGTCTATCTTAATCTGGAAGCTCTGCTCAAGCCTGTCTACCGTGAATGACACTTACAGTGTTTGAAATATTGGTGGTATAGCTTTTAGCATCACAGCATAATAAACCCTGGCAGGCCACTAGTGCTACATTGTTGTAAAAACGACAAAAGACTGTTGCAGTAAGATTAACATTCACTTTTGAGTCATCAGTGATACACTGTATGCAATGGATTGCTTAGGGATTGCTTTCTGCAAAAGGGAGTCTGTTTAAAAAAAGATAATGGCATTGCCACTAACAACACCTTTGATCTTTTTAAAGGGGACATTTTTCATCTTTATGATATTATTGCAAGGTTTGAAGATCTAAAGGGACCTTCCTCATACGCAAGAGCTGGCCCTTCCTATTTGTTTCTGGATTAGCTTCCAGTTGACATCAGACACAGCAGTGAGACCCTTTCCTCTCTTGAGGAATTAGCAGCATCAATTCAGGAGCTGTAAATACCTGAACTCTCACCTCAAGATTTGTCTTGACTAAATTGCCCTAGGGACAAGGGATAAGAAATTCTTCCATCATTTGCATAATTTAAATAAAAGAAAACAAAACCTAATTTTTAAAAGGAGCAGGAAGCAGCTTGTCCATAATAAATCACCAGCAAGCAAGGGTTCTGGGAGGAAAAGGGCGATATTAATACTAGTGGGATTTTTCTTTCAATGAAACGGTCTTTTGGTAAAGTTAGAACTGAGAAGCTTGGAAACCTAGGAGGTGAATGATTGGAATGGCACAGACTTAAGAAGAAATATTTTTGTGATTTGGATTCTTCAGCATTTCTCTAATTAGGAGATAGTTGCATTCAAAGTTCAAATAATCGATAACATTTGTAAACCCCACACAGCTAACACTTGTTTCTGTGTCAGGAGTTTGACTAATCTGTTTAATTATCAATGCCAATGAAAGAATCAACAGGAATATAATTGTGGCATAATAAAGGGTTTTTTCCTTTGATCCTGTATGTATGGAAAATTTATTAATACATTATCGTGCATTAGAGAGAGACAGTGGCCTGGGGAACCAGGAGGTTCTTGGTCCTTGCATCACTGTTAGCCAATTTAGAATAATGGAAAAATTAGCTACACTCTAGGGCTCAATTTCCTCATCTCTTACAATGTGCTTATTGGAGAGAACTCTGTTGAGGTTTTTGTTAGTATCCCAAAGCATTGTTGTCTCAAATTACTATTGTACCAAATCACTTCAAATTTAACTATGTAAAATACCAACCAATTTCTTGGGCTCACAGATTTTCAGGGTCAGAAATTCTAATGATGTCTAGCTGGACAAGTCTTTAGATCCTCAGGGCAGTTGTTGAAGTCATGCAAAGATGTTCGTCTGCTCTGAAGCAGCTAAGACAGCTTCACTTACTTGTCTTAGCAGAGATGACTTTAATCTGTTAATTGGAGCATCTGCTCAGAGTTTGCCCAATATCGCAGTTTCGCCAATGGTGGTCTCAGGGTAGCTAGACTGACACGGTAGCTGGCAAATATCCCAGAGCAAACATCCCAAGAAAGCCAGCTGATTCCAACCAAGCATTGGAAATAAGACACAATCACATTTTTTTAATTGTATTTTTATTATGTAAAGATAATGCAAAGTGTAGAACATTTGTCTGTTTGCTTTCTTACTAATGTCAATTTGAACAATCACACTTCTGAATTTATTGAAATAATTGCATAATTATAACCCAAGGCTGCTAATTCTCTTATTGCAGCCAAGTTCTGAGTAAAATTCTCTCTCTTTCAGCTTAATTGTTTCTCTGCTTCTATTTGTTTTTTTCTCATTTTTTTACATAATTTTAATGAACATTTACAGAGAATTTGGATTTCCATTCATTCATTGCTGCACTTCTCTAGACACAATCACTTTTATCACACTTTATTGACTTCCTTTTTGCTATAAGACCGTCCACAGTCAAGAAGAGAACATAAAAAGTTCATATTTTCATGAACGCAGAGTCAAGGAATTTTGTAGGCATCTTTTAAAATTACCTCCTCACCAGGTTCTAAACACTATTATCGTTCTTCTACAATACACTGCGTCCATCCCCAGGTTTCATTAGTTCCTTTGTTAATCCAATAGTTCAGTGCTTGTTCTAGGTCAGGGAAAAAGTGACCTGTCTGTCATATGTATTGCTATCATGCTGAACAAGTTTCAGCAGAGCTTCCGGACTTAAATGAACTAGGAGGAAATGCCTGGATGTCTACTGTGGAAAATCAGCCCATGAAAACGTTGTGGATCACAGCAATCTGATCTCCACCAGGATGTAGAAGAGGGCAGCATTCTGTTCCACTGGATGTGGGTTTGCCACAATTTTGAGAGCTGTTTCAACAGCAGCCAACTAGTCTGAGTCTGCATAGTGAGCTGTCCTATATCCTATACGCCCATGGGAGATCTTATAGGGATGGAAGGAGGCGCAAGCCAGAAATAGGATCCCTGCCCTGATTAAATGTATAGTCCAATGTGTGTGTGTGTGTGTGTATGGATCCAAACACAGAAGTGGATACAGGCACACTTTGCTTTTCACTTTGGTTTACTGTACTTCACAGATGTTGTTATGTATTGTGGAGTCGAATCAATTCAGAGCTGACCTCCCAGCCGGTTCTCAGAAGCTGTAAACTGTGTGAGAGGGGATTGCCCATTTTTCTCCTGTGGGAAAGCTGGTGGATTTGAACTGCATACCTTCAGGCTGGCAGTGCAATTCCTTACCACTAGACCACAAGGGCTCCCTATTTCACAGACCCTGTGAGGTTTTTGTTTGTATGATTACATTTTACAAATTGAAGATGTGTGGCAATGCTGTATTGAGCAAGTCCATGCATCCTGTTTTTTTGGGTCCCCTCCAAAAAAGTATGTGCTAACTTCGTGGCTCTGTGTCACATTTTGGTAACTCTCACAACATTCAAACTTTTTCATGATAGTCTTGCACAGTCCATGGCCTATAAATCTAGGGCTGTCAAGTCAGTTCAGAGTCATCTTGACCTTGCAGTGGGTTTCAAAGGCTGTAAATCTTTATGGGATGAAAGCCCATCTTTTTCTGTGAAGCAGCTGGAGGTTCAGAGCTGCTGAGGTTCTGGTTAGCAGTGCAGCTCCTTGAATAGACTACAGCATAGTAGAAATAGAACTTATATCCCAGGGAAATTGAGAAGTGTGTGTGCCTTTCTTTATTGCAATGGTCTGGCACTGAACCTGCAGCTTCTCCAAGGTATGTCTATAATCATAAACTCTTCCAAGTGCTACAGAGAAGATGCACAGGGCTCTTTGAGGGCACAAAGCAGGGTCCTGGCTCAATCAAGAAGCAGGGCAAAAATCCCTTTAGAAGGAGTATTCACTTTGAGATAAAAAGGATGGAAAAGAGTTGACTAAGAAGACTAACAGTGCATCCCTTACAAGACTGCCTCTTGCTCCTAAATTCTAGTCTCTTAATTTAAAAGAACAATCAGTCTAGAGACTAAGGTGCACCTGATCTAGACCACAGATTTCACAATTACTTACTATGCATCAGAGAGCTGGACAATGACTAAGGATGACAAAAGAAGAATCAGTGCGTTTGAGTTGTGGTGTTGGAGAGAAGAGTCTTGAACATACCATGGACAGCCAGGAGAAAAAAATAGATCTGTCTTGGAGAGCCTGAAACCAAGTTTCCTCTTGGAGGCTAGGATTTTGAATCCCCATCTCACATACTTTGGGCACATGGCCAGGAGGCACCAGTCCTTGGAGAAGGACATCATCCTTGTATGGGTGGAGGGACAGTGCAGGAGAAGACGACCCTGGAGAGATGAATTGACAGGATAACTGGGGTGATGGGATTACGTGTCAGTGTCAGTGAGACTGGCTTGGGATAGGGCTGGCAGAACTGTTGTGCACAGCATGGCTGTTGAGTCCCAGGCAACATGACGGCACATACCAACAATTTAAAAGATCCTCTCTTTTCACGTCACTTGATTGTTCCTTAGAAGTCATTCTTTGCAGAGGTTACACATTTGACATTTAACATGTTCACAACCTCTTATTTGTTTTTGTCTTCGTGATCCTTTAAAGGCTCCCTACTTTCAACTGGTTAGAGGCCATAGGCTTAGCGTGGGTCGTAGGTTCCCCACAGGCTCCTCCATTCCAGCTGACCCCATCCCCTCCTCTCCGTTATGAAACCCACGCTCCAGCCAGAACTGCCTACTCGCTCCCCCAAAGCCTACACTGATTTTCATGCTGCTCTTCTTATGTTCACACTAATCTCTTTTCCTGGGATGTCCTTCCTCCTCTTCTCCGCTGCTAAGATGCTAGTCATCTTCCCAGGTCTTGCTGAAGCTGACACCTCCATCGTGAGGCTTTTACTTAGCTTGTACATAATTATTTTGCTC